GATGCACTCGCGTCGACCCGAGATCTTGAAGATTGACATCTCTAAGTATAGGGAAGTCCAATAGGACTCCCTCTTGAGATGGTTCGTCGAATCCGACGACGCCATAAGGCCGCGTCGCATCGACGATGGGCAAATGCAAGTTGCATTTGCCCGATTAAATGTGGCAGGACGTGCCAAGACTTGGGCTTTGGGACTCAAGTTGCACGACCCATTTGCGTTGGGTCGTTGGAAGTCTTCAAGTCGCGGCTCAGACAAACGTCCAAACCGCCTGGAGCTGAGTTCAGAGCTCGAACCGAACTCTTGAAGATCAAACAGGGTAAGCGTGATGTGCACGCTTACGCCCAACATATACGACATCTCACGAGTTGTATAAGTTCCAATCCGGTGGATGAACACACGTTGGTTTCGGTGTTCATGCAGGGTCTTGCGGAAGGTCCCGTCAAGACTCACCTGTTCAGACTTGAACTCGATTCACTAGAACAAGCCATTTCCATTGCGGAACAGGAAGACTTCAGTCTGAGACAGACTCGCGCCAGCTCGACATCATATTGTCAACCGAGACGATATGACAATAGAGGTCCAGAGCCGATGGAACTCTGTTATGTAGAGAGCGAGAAGGCTCGCTCTACAGACTACAAGAAGTTCCAGAAATGCAACAGATGTCAGAAGACAGGACACTAAGCTTACGAGTGTAGTGCCCCTCGTCCAGTGTCTCGCAACACTGGACGTAGTGACCGTCCACCCATGAGAAAGGGGCAGGGGCGCGGGTCCGCTGTTGGTGCAAGGACGCAACAACGGGATGGACCGTCAAAAAACGGACAGGATCAGTAGGTGCGGAGCATCCTACTGGTCCAGCAACGTCAAGAGAATTTGTAGGCCTCTTGATGAAGGTTGCTCCCGACACACAAACGTTGTGCGTTGCTGCTCTAGGTAATGAGATCTCACTCATTACCTTGAAACTCGATGTGACATATAAGTTGTCCCTTCGAGCCCTTGTCGATTGTGGGGCGTCCAGCAATTTTGTGTGACGCCAAGCGCTAGAAGATGGTCATTTTAAGTTCAGTGAATGTGACACACCTCCTACAAGGATGACGGTACGTCTTGCGACAGGCGCATCCGTAACCGTCATGAAACGTATAGTGAAGATCCACTATGCGCTAGAAGATACCCAATATGACGATGACTTTATCGTATTGGATTTGGAGGAAAAATTTGATGTCATCCTTGGAATACCGTGGCTCAGAAGATACGAACCACGGGTAAACTGGCAACATCGAACAGTAACGATGCCTGCCGCTTGTTCATCAGATGGCCATCTTGGAGCGTCCACAAGCGTGTGGATGTACTGCGAGTGAGTGCGATCGCCTCACTTGTGGTACGGTCGTTAGTACGACTGCACAAAACCTTAGTGTAACAAACAGTTACACTTCGGAGCAAAGTGTCGGCGGCTGTGGGGAAACACAGGCTGCGCCGAAGGTCCACCACTCGAATAAGTCGAGTGGACCGGGACAAAGATGATTCCCTAGCGGGGTACATCTAGAAGAGAAACAATCGATCGCTCAGGTTAAGCGAAACGATAATCCTAGATCGACTGGAGAGTCTTTCGTAGAGGATCTCGCTGTGGTTGCGCAACCACAGCTAGAGGAAGTAAAGGGAATAAGTCCCGATAAAACAAATACGGCGGAAATAAGTTCCCCGAATCCCGAGGGAATAAGTCCCTGGGAAGCCGAAGGAATAAGTCCTTCGAAGCCTGAGGGAATGAATCCCCAGGAAATGACAGAGACATTGAATGTCCTAGTCAATGATGGATCAAGTGTGGGCGCTTATACACTTGATCTGATTGCGCCTCCGAAGTTAACCTCGGAGATCACTCAGTTGCCAACGCTCGAACATAAAAGGTTCTTGCGTGATCTGCGTAGTGGCAAAGTCAAGCAGATCTGCGTACTCGTCGCTGACGACGAGTGCGTAGCCGAAATAAGGTCAGCAACAGTGTTTACTGAGAACGAGAGAGTTCTCAGTAGTTCATCTATGGACGAGATTGTCCTCGATGAAAAGACACGGGTTGAGCGATATGACTCCCAATCGTGGGAATCGCTCAAGAAAAATCCTTTCTATGAGGATTTAGTTGAATTCAAGGATGTATTCCCTGAAACTGTTCCGCGCGAATTACCGAAGGATAAAGGTATTCGACACGAGGTCGAGCTTAAACCAGGCTCGAAGTACTGTGTCATGAAGCAGTGGCCACTGCCTCGTGAACAAGTACTTGCGATCGACAAGTTCTTTGCCGATCGTTTAGCTGCGGGCCATGTGAGTGAATCAACTTCCCCACATAGCTCTCCGACCTTCTGTGTGCGAAAAGCAACAGGAGGGTGGCGGATAGTGCACGCGTTCAATAAGTTGAATGCTGCAATGGTACCGGATCAGACGCCGATACCAAGGAAGGACGTAATCATTGATGGCATGTCAAAGAGTACCATCTTTTCGCCCATGGATTTGATGGATGGCTTCTATCAAATCTTTATGCGAGAACGGGATATACCCTATACCGCAAGCGGCATGCTCTGGGAATGGCTAGTAATGCCACAAGGGCTTAGTAATGCCCCTGCCACGTTCAACAGATGTGTATCACATCTGTTGAGACCAGTACGAGAATTCGCGCCGAGTTATTTTGATGTCGTATTTATCCATAGTCGGGCTATGGATGGAAATTCGGACGTTGAGGATCACACGTACCACGTCCGACAAGTTCTTACAATCATGCGAAAGCATCAATTGTATGCTAACCTCAAGAAGTGTATATTTGCAGCAAGCGAAATACCACTTCTTGGGTGCATCGTTGGTAAGAACGGTGTACGCCCTGACCCCGAAAAGATCAAGGCGATCACCGACTGGCCTGTGCCAGTTGATGTCAAAGGCCTTCGAAAATTCCTTGGGCTAGCGGCGCATTTGCACAAGTATTCACGCAATTACGCCGAGATGACTGTGCACCTCTCTCGTTTGTTGAAAAAGAACGAGAGGTGGTTATGGAACGCTGAATGTCAACGCTCCTTTGAGGGTATCAAGCAGAGCTTGATACAATCCCCAGTCCTAGCAATAGCCGATCAGGACAGGCCATTTCATGTGGTCTGTGATGCCAGCGATTTCGCAATCGGCTGTGCATTAATGCAGTACGATCTTGAAGGCGTTGAACGCGTCGTCTGATATCAGTCGCGTCAGCTGCAACCAGCTGAGCGGAACTATCCAGTGCATGACAAGGAACTCCTTGCCATGAAGTATGCACTCGCGAAGTTCAGAGTCTATCTATTAGGAGATAGACCCTTCGTTGTTTACACTGACCATGCGTCATTACGCACGGCAGTGAACAGCCCGCACCTTTCACAACGAATGGCGCGGTGGTTGTCATTCTTTGCAGAATACAACTTTACGGTCGAGTACAAACCAGGACGACTTAATGTCGTCGCTGATGCACTCTCACGTCGTCCCGACTTTGAAACAGTCGCGAAACCCAACAGTGAGACAGTCACTGTTGCGGTTATGACGTCCTCAGTTCCATCTACAACGTTGTATGATGATGTGAGGCGGGCATACGCCCAAGATGGTGAGATAGTGAAGTTTTTGACACATCTCTCTTAACCATCTCGAGAATCGTTGAAACGATTGTCGTCTGCGTATCGATCTGCATCAGATCGATACACTACTCGCAACGGGTTACTGTACTATACAGCCGTTTCTGGTGACACACCACGTGTTGTCATTCCAGATGATACTGATCTGCGTTTGCGGATCATGTTCGAGTATCACGATGCTCCTATAGGAGGACATCGTGGCCGGGAGAAAACATATCTCACGGTGAGTCGAGACTTTTACTGGCCCCGCCAGTATCAGTTTGTGCGCAAGTACATTCGCGCATGCGAAGTCTGTCAACGAATGAAGTCAAGTCCTTCACTGCGTGCACCTTTACAGCCTCTACCGGTTCCGGCTGAGTGCTGAGAATCCATCTCAATGGATTTTGTCTTCGGGTTACCCAAAGACGCACGCGGGAATACGGGTATTCTCGTATTTGCTGACAGATTCAGCAAAATTGTACACCTTGTGGCTGTTGCCGAGTCAATCACAGCAAGTGGCTATGCCTGCGTCTTATCGACACCATTTTCCGACTTCATGGGTTACCCCGTGAACCCGTATCAGACAGAGATCCACGCTTCACTGCTGATTTCTGGCGTTCCGTGTTCAAATCACTCGGAACGCGCGGGAAGATGTCGACATCTGATCACCCAGAGTCAGATGGTCAGACGGGACGTGCCAATCGTGTCCTCGAAAAGATAATTCGAGGATACGTACACTCCTTTAAAAGTTGGAGTGAGTTTTTGCCAATGGTAGAGTTTGCCATTAACAACTCGGTGCATGCGTCCACGACACATACACCGTTTTACGTGAATGGCTTACGCCATCTGCGTGTACTCACCTTACTCGAGTGTAACTCTGGTTTAAGGGGGGAGGGACTCGCGCGAGCAAAAACCGATTTGGTTCATGCACATCACGCTCTGACGAAGAGGTCATTGCGCTTGATGCCGATATCGATAACATCGATATCGAAGAAGATGATGCCAGTGAGAGTGCGGAAGCCCTCACTGAAGAAAAGATTGTTGTTGCTGCAGTGCGCTCACAGCGCTCTGAAGCTAACGAGCCAGCAGATGAGTTCATACTGGCTCGTGAAACGGTAGTCCGTTTTGTGCAAGACTCCATCGCCGAAGCGGTGGATAAGCAAAAGCAAAACGCTGACAAGAATGAAAGGGCAAACACTCTTTTATTTAATGAAGGTGACTTAGTCCTACTGTCTACGGTTAATCTACCAAAGCATGTAGTGACTAACTTGGGTAGCAGTAAACTACTACCCAAGTACATCGGCCCATTTCGTGTATTGCACCGCCAAGGCAATGCATACACGATCGAGTTACCACGTAAGATGCGAACGCATCCCACGTTTTACGTTGGTCGGCTTAAGCCGTACCATCAGTACGCTGTTTCTTCCGATGAAGAACGCCCTTGCGCTCAAGCATCTCGCAGAGAGTCTTGTGCTCCCAATGGTGGGCATCGACAAGGGTCTGAAGAGCGGTTATCTCAGCCCGAGACCGATCAACATTCCCACGAGCTACCCTTAGCTCATCACGCAGAGACGTCAGAGCTCTCTCGTTCTCAAGCTGAGAAAAGGCAAACTCAGCTCGATGCTTCAAGACAGTGTCCGCCATTTGGAGACGCCTATTCCGCTCATGCTCGAGATCGCCGCGTAACCCTTGCGTTACGCGATCAAAGAAGCTCTCGGGAACACACCGATCCACATGATCGCGTGGAGAGCGTCTTTCCTCCTCCTCCACCTCCATTAGAGAACTCTCGCGGTGGCCAGCGCTATCTAGTTGAGCAGCTGTTGAACCACCGCGACGTGAACGGACGTCGGACGAGTTATCTCGTCCGGTGGCGCGGCTATCCCCCGTCCTGGGATTCTTGGGAGCCCCGCTCCCAACTGATGATCGACTTACTGGGTCTGGTTGAGCAGTACGACGCGGCACATCCTGTGCCGCAGAAGGACCGCCGGAGAAAGTCTTCCCGGCACGGTCGTAAAGGGATTTCAGGCTGTCAATCTCTTCGTACATCTCACTAGAGATACGTACGCGCCACCAAGGGCTAGTAAGGAGGTAGGCCTTCTTAGGTGCTCGTGCAGAGTTGTTCACACAACATGGGCACGAGTCTCCCCAGGAGAGGCAGGGTAACCCTTTCTCCCTAGACAGATGATGCAGCTTGTAGCGTGCACCTGTCGGGGTTCGCTTTTCAAACTTATCACGAGCTTTGATAAGTTCGTCGTTCCAAACGTCACGACCTACATCCTCAAGGTTATGGATGTAGGCGTTCCACGCTTGAAGCAGTGAGGGACCATCAAGTGTATGATTCCCAATGTACCATCAATGTTTGAAGAAAGCATCGATGAAGAAATCATTATCAGCGCGATAGTTTTTCGGACTGGGGTCAAGGTGATGGATCCTTGACGAATCGAACAACCGTGTTAGATAACGATCACTCGTCGTCGCCGACAAGTGATCCAAGACGGATTTAGGAGGCATCCATACCTTCTTTTCAGGAGCGAGACGCAACACACTGCGGTCCCGCTCTTCCTGCGATGTGCCGACAGAAGTACTGGCACCTCGCTGTGAAGTGGTGTCAATAGGAGAACAGACACCACTGTTAACGCCCGAGTCTCGCGACCTCGAGCGCCTTCGCTTCGGCGATGGTTCATCTGATTCATCAGATGAACCAAAGATGCTACGACGCATAGCATCATCCATGCCACGCTTGGCAGGCGGCTTAGATTCGATCGCCGTCGATACGGATCCGTCTTCCGTATCAGGAGAGTATGAGACACCGAGCTCATACTCTGTGAAGACATGAGTGTCTTCATGACGAGCGCCTGCATCACCAGGTGACACAGGCTGAGTCGCTTCAGCAACCGATGAGACATCAGTTGCTGTTGTTTCTGCTTCGGCGTCCGCACAGAGACGTACCGACGCGCTCTCGGCGGCCTTGCTCGCGCATCGCATGGGCTTGTTAACCATGCGATGTAATGTTGGAAAGTGGACTCGAACCAACAAGTGCAAACCCTGTCCCAAATGATTTGGACGAGTATCCATTTAGTCAATCAGTCACTAAAGTGACTGATGGTTAAGGGGGGGGGTGATGTAACGGGGTGGATCGTTACATAACAATTTATAAGAAATTGTTAATAGAATATAACTATAAGAGTTATATTCTCAGAATATTGTCATAAGGACAAATATTCTGCAGCACTTACGAGTGGTTCCTGATTGGTTGATATAGGCCATTATATCAACCAACGAAGACGCGCCACGACAGACGCACGCAATGAGTGGTGAGCAGATAACTGATTTACACATTTGTATTTAGACATAGTTAGATGAAGATAAATAGTGATTTATTAACAGACATTAACTATGATAAATACAGCTCTACTTTTTACTCTAACCAAGTACTCGCTTCTTCTTACCGTCTTCCTCTGCACGTACGAGTGTACGTGAAGTCTCGAGGCACCGCCTTATTCTGTCGTCAGAATAAGTAGCTTGTACTGTCATCAGTACAAGCTTCAGGGTGCCCCGTTACACCCGGTAGCACTTCGTAGTCCGTCCAAGGACCACGTTCACATCTAACATGAATATGCTGGGTGATGAAGATGACCAAAGCTTTCGCGCTACGCGTGACGGCTACTCCCATTTGAGCGAGTCGAACGAGAAGCGGTTGAACGGATGAATTCAACCATGGGCATCCATGCTGTTAGTGTCATGCTAGAGGCTCTCGATAGAGATGCCCAACATGCTACTATCGCCAGGTTCATTCAAAATGAACTTGACGCCGAACGCGAGAAAGTAGCCTTGCTTCACCAACAAGGTTCTCAACAAGCAGAGTTGTTGAGAGAACAGGGTGTTCAACAGTTTGAACTGTTGAGACAGCAGCAGCTGCTGCTGGTGGGTCGATGCACTCGCGTCGACCCGAGATCTTGAAGATTGACATCTCTAAGTATAGGGAAGTCCAATAGGACTCCCTCTTGAGATGGTTCGTCGAATCCGACGACGCCATAAGGCCGCGTCGCATCGACGATGGGCAAATGCAAGTTGCATTTGCCCGATTAAATGTGGCAGGACGTGCCAAGACTTGGGCTTTGGGACTCAAGTTGCACGACCCATTTGCGTTGGGTCGTTGGAAGTCTTCAAGTCGCGGCTCAGACAAACGTCCAAACCGCCTGGAGCTGAGTTCAGAGCTCGAACCGAACTCTTGAAGATCAAGCAGGGTAAGCGTGATGTGCACGCTTACGCCCAACATATACGACATCTCACGAGTTGTATAAGTTCCAATCCGGTTGATGAACACACGTTGGTTTCGGTGTTCATGTAGGGTCTTGCGGATGGTCCCGTCAAGACTCACCTGTTCAGACTTGAACTCGATTCACTAGAACAAGCCATTTCCATTGCGGAACAGGAAGACTTCAGTTTGAGACAGACTCGCGCCAGCTCGACATCATATTGTCAACCGAGACGATATGACAATAGAGGTCCAGAGCCGATGGAACTCTGTTATGTAGAGAGCGAGAAGGCTCGCTCTACAGACTACAAGAAGTTCCAGAAATGCAACAGATGTCAGAAGACAGGACACTAAGCTTACGAGTGTAGTGCCCCTCGTCCAGTGTCTCGCAACACTGGGCGTAGTGACCGTCCACCCATGAGAAAGGGGCAGGGGCGCGGGTCCGCTGTTGGTGCAAAGACGCAACAACGGGATGGACCATCAAAAAACGGACAGGATCAGTAGGTGCGGAGCACCCTACTGGTCCAGCAACGTCAAGAGAATTTGTAGGCCTCTTGATGAAGGTTGCTCCCGACACACAAACGTTGTGCGTTGCTGCTCTAGGTAATGAGAACTCACTCATTACCTTGAAACTCGAAGCGACGAATAAGTTGACCTTCGAGCTCCTGTCGATTGTGGGGCGTCCAACAATTTTGTGCGACGCCAAGCGCTAGAAGATGGTCCCTTCAAGTTCAGTGAATGTGACACACCTCCTACGAGGATGACGGTACGTCTTGCGACAGGCGCATCCGTAACCGTCATGAAACGTATAGTGAAGATCCACTATGCGCTAGAAGATACCCAATATGACGATGACTTTATCGTATTCGATTTGGAGGAAAAATTTGATGTCATCCTTGGAATACCGTGGCTCAGAAGATACGAACCACGGGTAAGCTAGCAACATCGAACAGTAACGATGCCTGCCGCTTGTTCATCAGATGGCCATCTGATGAACGTTTTGGAGCGTCCACAAGCGTGTGGATGTACTACGAGTGAGTGCGATGGCCTCACTTGTGGTACGGTCGTTAGTACGACTGCACAAAACCTTAGTGTAACAAACGGTTACACTTCGGAGCAAAGTTCCGGCGGCTGTGAGGAAACACAGGCTGCGCCGAAGGTCCACCACTCGAATAAGTCGAGTGGACCGGGACAAAGATGTATCCCTAGCGGGGAACATCTAGAAGAGAAACAATCAATCGCTCAGGTTAAGTGAAACGATAATCCTAGATCGACTGGAGAGTCTTTCGTAGAGGATCTCGCTGTGGTTGCGCAACCACAGCTAGAGGAAGTAAAGGGAATAAGTCCCGATAATACAAATACGGTGTAAATAAGTTCCCCGAAACCCGCGGGAATAAGTCCCCGGGAAGCCGAAGAAATAAGTCCTTCGAAGCCTGAGGGAATAAGTCCCCAGGAAGTGACAGGACATTGAATGTCATAGTCAATGATGGATCATGTGTAGGCGCTTATACACTTGATCTGATTGCGCCTCCGAAGTTAACTTCGGAGATCACTCAGTTGCCAACGCTCGAACATAAAAGGTTCTTGCGTGATCTGCGTAGTGGCAAAGTCAAGCAGATCTGCGTACTCGTCGCTGACGACGAGTGCGTAGCCGAAATAAGGTCAGCAACAGTGTTTACTGAGAACGAGAGAGTTCTCAGTAGTTCATCTATGGACGAGATTGTCCTCGATGAAAAGACACGGGTTGAGCGATATGACTCCCAATCGTGGGAATCGCTCAAGAAAAATCCTCTCTATGAGGATTTGGTTGAATTCAAGGATGTATTCCCTGAAACTGTTCCGTGCGAATTACCGAAGGATAAAGGTATTCGACACGAGGTCGAGCTTAAACCAGGCTCGAAGTACTGTGTCATGAAGCAGTGGCCACTGCCTCGTGAACAAGTACTTGCGATCGACAAGTTCTTTGCCGATCGTTTAGCTGCGGGCCATGTGAGGGAATCAACTTCCCCACTTAGCTCTCCGACCTTCTGTGTGCGAAAAGCAACAGGAGGGTGGCGGATAGTGCACGCGTTCAATAAGTTGAATGCTGCAATAGTACCGGATCAGACGCCGATACCAAGGAAGGACGTAATCATTGATGGCATGTCAAAGAGTACCATCTTTTCGCCCATGGATTTGATGGATGGCTTCTATCAAATCCTTATGCGAGAACGGGATATAACCTATACCGCAGTTAGCACGCCTAGCGGCATGCTCTGGGAATGGCTAGTAATGCCACAAGGGCTCAGTAATGCCCCTGCCACGTTCAACAGATGTGTATCACATCTGTTGAGACCAGTACGAGAATTCGTGCCGAGTTATTTCGATGACGTATTCATCCATAGTCGAGCTATGGATGGAAAGTCGGACGTTGAGGTTCACACGTACCACGTCCGACAAGTTCTTACAATCATGCGAAAGCATCAATTGTATGCTAACCTCAAGAAGTGTATATTTGCAGCAAGCGAAATACCACTTCTTGGGTGCATCGTTGGTAAGAACGGAGTACGTCCTGATCCCGAAAAGATCAAGGCAATCACCGACTGGCCTGTGCCAGTCGATGTCAAAGGTCTTCGAAAATTCCTTGGGCTAGCGGCGTATTTGCATAAGTAAGTATTCACGCAATTACGTCAAGATGACTGTGCACCTCTCTCGTTTGTTGAAAAAGAACGAGAGGTGGTTATGGAACGCTGAATGTCAGCACCCCTTTGATGGTATCAAGCAGAGCTTGATACAATCCCTAGTACTAGCAATTGCCGATCAGGACAGGCCATTTCATGTGGTCTGTGATGCCAGCGATTTCGCAATCGGCTGTGCATTTAATGCAGTACGATCTTGAAGGCGTTGAACGCGTCGTCTGATATCAGTCGCGTCAGCTGCAACCAGCTGAGCGGAACTATCCAGTGCATGACAAGGAACTCCTTGCCATGAAGTATGCACTCGCGAAGTTCAGAGTCTATCTATTAGGAGATAGACCCTTCATTGTTTACACTGACCATGCGTCATTACGCACGGCAGTGAACAGCCCGCACCTTTCACAACGAATGGCGCGGTGGTTGTCATTCTTTGCGGAACACAACTTTACGGTTGAGTACAAACCAGGACGACTTAATGTCGTCGCTGATGCACTCTCACGTCGTCCCGACTTTGAAACAGTCGCGAAACCCAACAGTGAGACAGTCACTGTTGCGGTTATGACGTCCTCAATACCATCTTCAACGTTACACGATGATGTGAGGCGGGCATACGCCCAAGATGGTGAGATAGTGAAGTCGTTGACACATCTCTCCCAACCATCTCGAGAATCGTTGAAACGATTGTCGCCTGCGTATCGATCTGCATCAGATCGATACACTACTCGCAACGGGTTACTGTACTACACAGCCGTTTCTGGTGACACACCACGTGTTGTCCTTCCTGGTGATACTGATCTGCGTTTGCGGATCATGTTCGAGTATCACGATGCTCCTATAGGAGGACATCGTGGCCGGGAGAAAACATATCTCACGGTGAGTCGAGACTTTTACTGGCCCCGCCAGTATCAGTTTGTGCGAAAGTACGTTCGCGCATGCGAAGTCTGTCAACGAATGAAGTCAAGTCCTTCACTGCGTGCACCTTTACAGCCTCTACCGGTTCCGGCTGAGTGCTGGGAATCCATCTCAATGGATTTTGTCTTCGGGTTACCCAAAGACGCACGCGGGAATACGGGTATTCTCGTATTTGCTGACAGATTCAGCAAAATTGTACACCTTGTGGCTGTTGCCGAGTCAATCACAGCAAGTGGCTATGCCTGCGTCTTATCGACACCATTTTCCGACTTCATGGGTTACCTCGTGAACCCGTATCAGACAGAGATCCACGCTTCACTGCTGATTTCTGGCGTTCCGTTTTCAAATCACTCGGAACGCGCGGGAAGATGTCGACATCTGATCACCCAGAGTCAGATGGTCAGACGGGACGTGCCAATCGTGTCCTCGAAAAGACAATTCGAGGATACGTACACTCCTTTAAGAGTTGGAGTGAGTTTTTGCCAATGGTAGAGTTTGCCATTAACAACTCGGTGCATGCGTCCACGACACATACACCGTTTTACGTGAATGGCTTACGCCATCCGCGTGTACCCACCTTACTAGAGTGTGACTCTGGTTTCAGGGGGGGGGACTCGCGCGAGCAAAAACCGATTTGGTTCATGCACATCACGCTCTGACGAAGAAGTCATTGCGTTTGATGCCGATATCGATAACATCGATATCGAAGAATATGATGCCAGTGAGAGTGCGGAAGCCCTCACTGAAGAAAAGATTGTTTTTGCTGCAGTGCACTCACAGCGCACTGAAGCTAACGAGTCAGCAGATGAGTTCATACTCGCTCGTGAAACGGTAGTCCGTTTTGTGCAAGACTCCATCGCTGAAGCGGTGGATAAGCAAAAGCAAAACGCAGACAAGAATGAAAGGGCAAACACTCTTTTATTTAATGAAGGTGACTTAGTCCTACTGTCTACGGTTAGCCCACAAAAGCATGTAGTGACTAACTTGGGTAGTAGTAAACTTCTACCCAAGTACATCGGCCCATTTCGTGTATTGCACCGCCAAGGCAGTGCATACACGATCGAGTTGCCACGTAAGATGCAGACGCATCCCACGTTTTACGTTGGTCGGCTTAAGCCGTACCATCAGTACGCTGTTTCTTCCGATGAAGAACGCCCTTGCGCTCAAGCATCTCGCAGAGAGTCTTGTGCTCCCAATGGTGGGCATCGACAAGGGTCTGAAGAGCGGTTATCTCAGCCCGAGACCGATCAACATTCCCACGAGCTACCCTTAGCTCATCACGCAGAGACGTCAGAGCTCTCTCGTTCTCAAGCTGAGCAAAGGCAAACTCAGCTCGATGCTTCAAGACAGTGTCCGCCATTTGGAGACGCCTATTCCGCTCATGCTCGAGATCGCCGCGTAACCCTTGCGTTACGCGATCAAAGAAGCTCTCGGGAACACACGCTTCTCCACGATTGTGTGGAGAGCGTCTTTCCTCCTCCTCCACCTCCATTAGAGAACTCTCGCGGTGGCCAGCGCTATCTATTTGAGCAGCTGTTGAACCACCGCGACGTGAACGGACGTCGGACGAGTTATCTCGTCCGGTGGCGCGGTTATCTTCCGTCCTGGGATACTTGGGAGCCCCTCTCCCAACTGATGGTTGACGTACTGGGTCTGGTTGAGCAGTACGACACGGCACATCTTGTGCTGCAGAAGGACCGCCGGAGAAAGTCTTCCCGGCACGGTCATAAAGGGATTTTAGGTTGTCAATCTCTTCGTACATCTCACTAGAGATACGTACGCGCCACCACGGGCTAGTAAGGAGGTAAGCCTCCTTAGGTGCTCGTGCAGAGTTGTTCACACAACATGGGCACGAGTCTCCCCAGGAGAGGCAGGGTAACCCTTTCTCCTTAGACAGACGATGCAGCTTGTAGCGTGCACCTGTCGGGGTTCGCTTTTCAAACTTATCACGAGCTTTGATAAGTTTGTCGTTCCATACGTCACGACCTACATCCTCAAGATTATGGATGTAAGCGTTCCACGCTTGAAGCAGTGAGGGACCATCACGTGTGTGATTCCCACTGTACCATCGATGTTTAAAGAAAGCATCGATGAAGAAATCATTCTCAGCGCGATAGTTTTTCGGACTGGGGTCAAGGTGATGGATCCTTGACGAATCGAACAACCGTGTTAGATAACGATCACTCGTCGTCGCCGACAAGTGATCCAAGACGGATTTAGGAGGCATCCATGCCTTCTTTTCAGGAGCGAGACGCAACACACTGCGGTCCCGCTCTTCCTGCTACGTGCAGACAGAAGTACTGGCACCTCGCTGTGAAGTGGTGTCAATAGGAGAACAGACACCACTGTTAACGCCCGAGTCTCGCGACCTCGAGCGCCTTCGCTTCGGCGATGGTTCATCTGATTCATCAGATGAACCAAAGATGCTACGACGCATAGCATCATCCATGCCACGCTTGGCAGGCGGCTTAGATTCGATCGCCGTCGATACGGATCCGTCTTCCGTATCAGGAGAGTATGAGACACCGAGCTCATACTCTGTGAAGACATGAGTGTCTTCATGATGAGCGCCTGCATCACCAGGTGACACAGGCTGAGTCGCTTCAGCAACCGATGAGACATCAGTTGCTGTTGTTTCTGCTTCGGCGTCCGCACAGAGACGTGCCGACGCGCTCTCGGCGGCCTTGCTCGCGCATCGCATGGGCTTGTTAACCATGCGATGAAATGTTGGAAAGTGGACTCGAACCAACAAGTGCAAACCCTGTCCCAAATGATTTGGACGAGTATCCATTTAGGCAATCAGTCACTAAAGTGACTGATGGTTAAGGGGGGGGGTGATGTAACGGGGTGGATCGTTACATAACAATTTATAAGAAATTGTTAATAGAATATAACTATAAGAGTTATATTCTCAGAATATTGTCATAAGGACAAATATTCTGTAGCACTTACGAGTGGTTCCTGATTGGTTGATATAGGCCATTATATCAACCAACGAAGACGCGCCACGACAGACGCACGCAATGAGTGGTGAGCAGATAACTGATTTACACATTTGTATTTAGACATAGTTAGATGAAGATAAATAGTGATTTATTGCAGACATTAACTATGATAAATACAGCTCTACTTTTTACTCTAACCGAGTACTCGCTTCTTCTTACCGTCTTCCTCTGCACGTACGAGTGTACGTGAAGTTACGAGGCACCGCCTTTTCTGTCATCAGAATAAGTAGCTTGTACTGTCACCAGTACAAGCTTCAGGGTGCCCCGTTACAGTAATGGTGTGTGTGGACAACAACATCGGCTGCTTCCCGCCTACTGTCGGAGACTCGTGACACATGTCGTGCTACTCGAAAAATAGCGGTAAACAATGTGCCTGCAGTGATAATTCATGGATGGACTGGCTCCAGTTATCTTGGCATGCTACTAGACAGCGTAATCTCATTGCATCTACTTTTTCAATGCAAGCAACCTGGGGATTATCTTAACGGCCCAAAACAGCGTTGCACCGACCACCTTGCTAATTCGCGATAGAATTGGAGATGCTGAACCCTTTCTACTCAAAGCAAAGACTCTCAAGATCGGCTGCAGATTTTTAAGCCGATACCAGAAAGCGATAGTTACGTCACGGGACAGGTCCAGTTACATAAAATGTTTCACCCGCAGCAGACTCACGTATTTAGACCCAAGTCCCTGCGTGCTCAGCTATGGCACTTGTACGCGCGCATCATCTGCCAATATTTCTCAGCGGTGTCAATTCACGTCTTCAGCGTTCACGAAATTAAATCAAATATAACCCAGTTGAATGTCAATCACACCACCAGTTGCGAAACACACGTGATCGACGGTCTTGAGCGTGTAGCGGCTCCGTGGCATGTCATCAGCTGACATCCACAAAGCAAGGACGCAACTTTTTGCCAACCTTACGCAGCGCACCACTAATGCTGTACGGTGGCGAACGTACAGAGAGTTTATTCATAAACGAAATCATAAGCCAGCATCACCCCGTCAGCACCTTCAGACAACACGACCATTAGAAAAAAATGTCCAGTCTCGCGCATTCACGCAATGCACAATCTGATAGATACACTGTACGCACCTAGACCCCTCCACTGACGATGGTGCAGACGTTGGTGAAAACAACCGGTGAAAGGCATATAATTTCTTAACGTTATCACCAAGAGCAGCAGAGTAACGGGGCACCCTGAAGCTTGTACTGGTGACAGTACAAGCTACTTATTCTGATGACAGAAAAGGCGGTGACTCGGAACTTCACGTACACTCGTACGTGCAGAGGAAGACGGTAAGAAGAAGCGAGTACTTGGTTGAAGTAAAAAGTAGAACTGTATTTATAATAGTTAATGTCTGTTAATAAATCACTATTTATCCTCATCTAACTATGTCTGATTACAAATGTGTAAATCAGTTATCTGCTCACCACTCATTGCGTGCGTCTGTCGTGGCGCGTCTTCGTTGGTTGATATAATGGCCTATATCAACCAATCAGGAACCACTCGTAAGTGCTGCAGAATATTTGTCCTTATGACAATATTCTGAGAATATAACTCTTATAGTTATATTCTATTAACAATTTCTTATAAATTGTTATGTAACGATCCACCCCGTTACATCACCCCCCCCTTAACCATCAGTCACTTTAGTGACTGATTGACTAAATGGATACTCGTCCCAAATCATTTGGGACAGGGTTTGCACTTGTTGGTCCGAGTCCACTTTCCAACAATTCATCGCACGGTAAACAAGCCCATGCGGTGCGCGAGCAAGGCCGCCGAGAGCGCGTCCGCACGTCTCTGTGCGGACGCCGAAGCAGAAACAACAGCAACTGATGTCTCATCGGTTGCTGAAGCGACTCAGCCTGTGTCACCTGGTGATGCAGGCGCTCGTCATGAAGACACTCATGTCTTCACAGAGTATGAGCTCGGTGTCTCATACTCTCCTGATACGGAAGACGGATCCGTATCGACGGCGATCGAATCTAAGCCGCCTGCCAAGCGTGGCATGGATGATGCTATGCGTCGTAGCATCTTTGGTTCATCTGATGAATCAGATGAACCATCGCCGAAGCGAAGGCGCTCGAGGTCGCGAGACTCGGGCGTTAACAGTGGTGTCTGTTCTCCTATTGACACCACTTCCCAGCGAGGTGCCAGTACTTCTGTCTGCACGTAGCAGGAAGAGCGGGACCGCAGTGTGTTGCGTCTCGCTCCTGAAAAGAAGGCATGGATGCCTCCTAAATCCGTCTTGGATCACTTGTCGGCGACGACGAGTGATCGTTATCTAACACGGTTGTTCGATTCGTCAAGGATCCATCACCTTGACCCCAGTCCGAAAAACTATCGCGCTGATAATGATTTCTTCATCGATGCTTTCTTCAAACATTGATGATACATTGGGAATCACACACGTGATGGTCCCTCACTGCTTCAAGCGTGGAACGCCTACATCCATAACCTTGAGGATGTAGGTCGTGACGTTTGGAACGACGAACTTATCAAAGCTCGTGATAAGTTTGAAAAGCGAACCCCGACAGGTGCACGCTACAAGCTGCATCATCTGTCTAGGGAGAAAGGGTTACCCTGCCTCTCCTGGGGAGACTCGTGCCCATGTTGTGTGAACAACTCTGCACGAGCACCTAAGGAGGCTTACCTCCTTACTAGCCCGTGGTGGCGCGTACGTATCTCTAGTGAGATGTACGAAGAGATTGACAACCTAAAATCCCTTTATGACCGTGCCGGGAAGACTTTCTCCGGCGGTCCTTCTGCAGCACAGGATGTGCCGTGTCGTACTGCTCAACCAGACCCAGTACGTCAACCATCAGTTGGGAGAGGGGCTCCCAAGTATCCCAGGACGGAAGATAACCGCGCCACCGGACGAGATAACTCGTCCGACGTCCGTTCACGTCGCGGTGGTTCAACAGCTGCTCAAATAGATAGCGCTGGCCACCGCGAGAGTTCTCTAATGGAGGTGGAGGAAGAGGAAAGACGCTCTCCACACAATCGTGGAGAAGCGTGTGTTCCCGAGAGCTTCTTTGATCGCGTAACGCAAGGGTTACGCGGCGATCTCGAGCATGAGCGGAATAGGCGTCTCCAAATGGCGGACACTGTCTTGAAGCATCGAGCTGAGTTTGCCTTTTCTCAGCTTGAGAACGAGAGAGCTCTGACGTCTCTGCGTGATGAGCTAAGGGTAGCTCGTGGGAATGTTGATCGGTCTCGGGCTGAGATAACCGCTCTTCAGACCCTTGTCGATGCCCACCATTGGGAGCACAAGACTCTCTGCGAGATGCTTGAGCGCAAGGGCGTTCTTCATCGGAAGAAACAGCGTACTGATGGTACGGCTTAAGCCGACCAACGTAAAACGTGGGATGCGTCTGCATCTTACGTGGCAACTCGATCGTGTATGCACTGCCTAGGCGGTGCAATACACGAAATGGGCCGATGTACTTGGGTAGAAGTTTACTACTACCCAAGTTAGTCACTACATGCTTTTGTGGGCTAACCGTAGACAGTAGGACTAAGTCACCTTCATTAAATAAAAGAGTGTTTGCCCTTTCATTCTTGTCTGCGTTTTGCTTTTGCTTATCCACCGCTTCAGCGATGGAGTCTTGCACAAAACGGACTACCGTTTCACGAGCGAGTATGAACTCATCTGATGACTCGTTATCTTCAGTGCGTTGTGAGTGCACTGCAACGATTGATGTTGCTGCAGTGCACTCACAACGCACTGAAGCTAACGAGTATCGATGTTGTCGACATCGGCATCGAGCGCAATGACCTCTTCGTCAGAGCGTGATGTGCATGAACCAAATCGGTTTTTGCTCGTGCGAATCTCCCTCCCTCCCTTAAACCAGAGTTACACTCTAGTAAGGTGGGTACACGCAGATGGCGTAAGCCATTCACGTAAAACGGTGTATGTGTCGTGGACGCATGCACCGAGTTGTTAATGGCAAACTCTACCATTGGCAAAAACTCACTCCAACTCTTAAAGGAGTGTACGTATCCTCGAATTATCTTTTCGAGGACACGATTGGCACGTCCCGTCTGACCATCTGACTCTGGGTGATCAGATGTCGACATCTTCAAGCGCGTTCCGAGTGATTTGAACACGGAACGCCAGAAATCAGCAGTGAAGCGTGGATCTCTGTCTGATACGAGTTCACGGGGCAACCCATGAAGTCGGAAAATGGTGTCGATAAAGACACAAGCACAGCCACTTGCTGTGATTGACTCGGCAACAGCCACAAGGTGTACAATTTTGCTGAATCTGTCAGCAAATACGAGAATACCCGTATTCCCGCGTGCGTCTTTGGGTAACCCGAAGACAAAATCCATTGAGATGGATTCTCAGCACTCAGCCGGAACCGGTAGAGGCTGTAAAGGTGCACGCAGTGAAGGACTTGACTTCATTCGTTGACAGACTTCGCATGCGCGAACGTACTTTCGCACAAACTGATACTGGCGGGGCCAGTAAAAGTCTCGACTCACCGTGAGATATGTCTTCTCACGGCCACGATGTCCTCCTATGTGGGCATCGTGATGCTTGAACATGATCCGCAAACGCAGATCAGTATCACCAGGAAGGACAACACGTGGTGTGTCACCAGAAACGGCTGTATAGTACAGTAAACCGTTGCGAGTAGTGTATCGATCTGATGCAGATTGATACGCAGACGACAATCGTTTCA